CTCAACAACCTAACAGCACGTGCTGTTTTTCTGTTGCTCTCATTTGCTATTTTTTAACTTTGCTATGAATATCTTTGAGGAAGTATCTCATCATTGTTTGGGTTTTCATCTCTTGGATGGCTTGCATTTCTTCATATATTTGTTGGCTGCCTGAATGTCTTCTTTGGAAAACTATCTGTTCATGTCCTCTGCCCATTTCCCCCCATTTTTTTTTATTAGTTGGGATTTAACACATATATCATATCAGTCCACATTTCCATCACATCAAGCAGAATGAACAACTGCTACCACAATTGGTTTCCAAACTTTCTTTTCTTGCATGGACTCCTTGAGCTCATCTGCCCATTTTTAATTGAGTTATTCACCCTTTCTTGTCGGGGTGTTCGAGTTTTCTATAGCCGTTAGCTATTTGTCCCTTTTCTGATATGTCATCGTCATTTTTCCCAATAGTGCAGCTTTTTACTCTTTTAGTGAAGTCTTTTGATGCTTAAGTGTTTTATCTTTCGCATGGCCCAGTCTTCTCTTTTGTTGCCTGCTGTGTGTGTTTTGTTTTATTTGATAGTGCGTTTATGCCATGCAGGCCCCTAAGCTTGTCTCCCTTTTTACATTGATGACCTTTATAATTCTTGGTTGTAGTTCGGGGCGATAACCTATCTGGAGTTTATTTTGCATGTGCAGTGACTGCATATGCAAGGTGTATGGGTCTCGTTTCATTCTGCGGCACATAGAAATGTGAACATGCCCGTGCTGGCCTGTAGCTCATTGTGGGAGGAGAAAGCTCTGTCTTTCTTCCTTGAGCAGCAAGGTCAGTGGTTTCAAACTGCTGACCTTGTGGTTAGCATCTCACAATGTAACCACTCTACCACCAGGGTTCCTGTACAGTTAGAAATGATTCTTAAACAATTCACTCTGCCAATCCCTACATAATTGAAGTATTGAATTATTTTCCTTTAATTGTAATTACGGACAAAGTGGATTTATCTGCCATTTTAATATTCTTCTATGCATTTTATTACATTTCCTTATTTTAATTTGCAATTCCATCACCCCTCTGTCAGCTTGTTACTCTTTGATGGCTCTTGCATTGCTGTGATCCTAGAAGCTATAGCACACTATTCAAAAACACTTGGCAGCTTTATGGTGGGTAGGTTTCAATGAACTTCCAGACTAAAAGACTTGAGGGGGAAAGGTCTGGTGATCTGTTTCCAGAAATTAAAAAATGAACACTTCATGGTTACATTATAGCATTTTCTCACTCACTGGCTTTGGATCTATTCTGGGGAGGGGGCAGTTGTTGGAGAAGGACCTCTCCAGAATCCCAGCAATGAGATGAGTTGGAAAGGTCACTGCAAAATTGGACTGAAACATGCTTACAATTGGAGGATGATGCAGAAGCTTCCAGAATTTTATTCTGTTGTGCATGAGGTCACCATGAATCAGAGTCAAGCAAATGGAAGCTCTATCTGTCTAACTCTCTCTCTCTTCATAATTGTTTTTATGCTAAATATTTTCTTTCTATTATCCCATTGTAATTTTCTTGTCATTTCTTTCACTCTATAGTTTTAGTTATTTTCTTAACAAGTTCCTTGAGAATAAAATTAACATCTCAATTTTTTTAGCAATCTAGTATTTCACCTCTCCCTAAGAATTCTTTCCAATAAACTAGTCTTTTTTTTCCAACAATGCTCTAAAATGTTTCCCATTCAGAAAATATTACCTCTGAACCATCTTTTAAAAAGCAGTATCCCCCCCCATACACACACAATCATGCTCTAACACTTAAAATTAGAATTACTTTTCCTGATGCTTATCGCTACCCAACATATACAAGAGGGCTTCCAAAAGTTCATGACAAATTTTACCAAAAGATAATGGAATTTGTCCATGAGCTTCTTCAAGCCCCTTTCTATTTGCACATGTATCAATTCCTCAGTCTTTATTAACTTTTCTTGCTTTAAGAATTTCAAACTAAAAAGGACGCAGTAGCTATTTATAACTCTAAAGCTGCTTGTATCCAGTCGAAGTAAAAAATAAATACAAACTAATTCACATTAAGTAAAAAAAAAAATAAGTGACAAAATAAGAAATCAATAGCTGGTGAGAAACAGAAGACACTACTTTCTTCTCTCTACCTTTTATAGCTGAAATTAGAGTCTTTACGGTGTACCTTGTTGCAAAAGCCAATGGCTACTATGTATAGCAAAATATAAACAGAAATCTACTCCTTCAACCCACAAAACACTAACCAAACTAAACCAAACACACTGCCCTCAAGTCAGTTCCAGGGCATAGGGACCTTGTACAGGCTTTCTGAGGCTGAAAGTTACCGGGACATACTGCCTCAGCTTTTGCCCACAGATATGCTGGTGGGTTTGAACCACCAACCTTTAGATTAGCTGTCCTGTGGTCACTCAAGAGCACCATTACGATTTCTTTCATAACATGCTAGTTAGTATGTGTGTGTGTATATATAT